GTTTTTTTTTTTTTTTTTTTTTTTTTTTTTTTTTTTTCTTACTGAAAAAGAGCATATAGTAGTATGCCCCATGTATCATCTGACATAACCATCTAGCGTCTCTAGTAAAAATTGTCTTAAGTTTGGTTAAAGGATATTTAGCTCTCGTTTGGTTCACTAGTTCGAATTTTGTTGAAACTTTTTTGTTTAAAAAAAAATTTAAATTGTGTGGTTTAAATTATAGTTTGAGAATGTGCACTTAAAAGTTTAATTTGAACAGAGTATAATATTCGAATTTGTATTTAATAGGTGTAAAAAGCAGATAGGTGAAAATTTTTTTACTATACAAAAATAGTTTAAACGATTAAACTTAAGGGGAAGTTAAATTTGAAGTTTGATAGTTTAACTCAGTTCAAACGAAAAACATAATTTGGATTACGTGTTTACTAAACTCAAGTTTAAATTATGTTCATTGTTCGAATTGAGTTAAATTGAACTGAACCAATGAAATAAATTGGGCTTAATAGTGTGGCTGGTTTTTAGTATGAGAAAGAATGAGTCCTCTTGAGAAAAAGCTAAGACTCAAATTCTTTAACCTTTTATGCACATGAATGATTATTGTTACATGGACCAAAAAAAAGAAAAAACTAAAAAAGAGAGAAGCTCATTGTATCTCTCTCTCGTCTGTTGTTGGCTTCATTGAATTATTAGGTGGTTTGGTCTATTTTAAAAATCTAATTTTTTTGAGCGGTATAGTTTGTGATTTGGACTCCCCAAACCGCTTAATAATATAACAAAAAATATACATATATAATTTTTTAATTTTTAAAATATTTTTAGTATTTATTTTAGTTTTTATTAATCATAATAAATGTTATACACTTATAAAATATACCCTATCATATTTTTGTTGATTTGTATTAAAACTTTAAATGGTGATTTTGTAAGTCATTTATTATTTTTTAATTATATTGTAAACTTGAATCTTATTTTTATTTTTATTGATTAATAATTTTATAATTTTTGTGAATTATTGAAAATTTTTTTAGTCTTAAACTTAAACCACCTAAATTAAACTGTTCAAACTGCTTATAAATGATTTGGTTCAATTTAATTTTTGTCAAAATATCAAACCGCCTAAACTGTCTAAAAGAAAAAATGATTTTTAATTTGGTTGGTGATTTCTAAAAAAACCTTCCCAACTGACTGCGAACACTCTAATTATTTTGGTTTTGGTTAGAAAGGAAGAAAAGAAGTTCAGATGATTTGTGCGACGGAAAAAAAAGTTCCTTTGAGACTTGAGGAATAAAAGTAGTTCAAATTATTGGCTTCTCCTTCTCTTCTTCTTCTTCCTTTTTTTTTTTTTTTTCAGAAAATTACATCGTGATAGTAATGTTATTACTATTATTAGTTTTTGGATGGAAAGTGAGTGACTTTAATAATCCATGGAAATTGACATGTGATTTATACATGAGTTAATTATTAATAAATGGAATTGGAAATCATTTTTATCAATTTAACCCTAACTTATAGGATTCTTAATTTGTTTTTAAATTAGTATTCATACTTCAAAAAGTACCCTTCAAGTGCCGCACAAATGTTTTTGATGTGGCTTTCATAAGGGTGGGGATGGGTTTTTTTAATTTGCTTTTTTTCTGTTAACATGTTTTAGACTAAAGAAGGAGTAGAAATAAGATTTCATGATGCACTTGATTTTTTTTTTTTTTTTGAAGCTTATTAATTAAATATTGCGATATCATCCACTAATTCGATAAAACACATTAAAAAAAAAGTAACTTTCTTAATTTCCAAATAAAATTACATATCTCCTGAGCATAACCATCTAGCCCCTAGTAGGCTTTGTCCAAAGAATGGTTAAAGAATGCATTCTCATTTGGAAAAAAAAGTAGGAGACAAACACCCTCAAGCAGAGAATTGATACTTGTTCCCTGGAACAATGCAATCCTCTTGAAGCAAAGGATTAACATTCATTTTCCCCTTAAAAAGCAGAGAAAACTCCATTTAGGATATTGTTCCAACCTCGTACCGGGCATTTGACGCTATTGGTGTGGATTCTGTTGCCATGGCCGCCACTCCAGTCTTCAACGATCCAGATGGTACGTTATAGGTAGAGTTTGAGTTTCGAAAGAATTCCTTGTACAATCAAAATGAGGAGGATGTGTCTAATTATCATTCAATCAGTTTCTACATCATGACATGTCTAATTATCTATTTGCAGGCGTTTTGAGGTCAATCTCAAATGTACCACCGGCTCATTATACAATCAAACTACAGTCGTTTTCTTTGTTAATGAAGAATTCAATAGATAGATACGCGTCGAATCAATTTGAAGCTGGAGGCTACAAATGGTACATTTTCTTGCCAGTAAAATTCACATCATAAATTTCCTGCATTTTCCTTTTTCTGTCATGTCTTATACATGTCACGTCTATGTTTTCAGGAACTTGGTTATCTATCCAAATGGAAACAAAAGCAGGAATAATATATCTCTCTCTACTTGGCAATGGCCGAAGCGGATTCCCTCCAAACCGGTTGGGAAGTTTATGCCGTTTTCAGGTTGTTTATACTCAATCAGAACAATGATAACTACATGGTTCTTCAGGGTAATTTATCCTCAAACTTATAGTTTTAATATACATAGTGTCAATTAGTAACATCTTATTGTTTTTTTTTTCCATAACTCAAGTCACAACTCAAGTTCTATTGCTACAGTATTGTTTTCTCTCATAAAATTTCATAACTCAACTTTTTTACTACAGTGTTTTTTTCTCACATACACAACTCACGTTATCAACTTGAGCTGTGAAAAGAACAACCCTTAAGTATCTTTAGTTTACCCTTCTGAGTTAAAAAATCGCAATTTCTTTTAACCATCATGAAACTCATTCTAACACACTCTTATTTCCCAACTCTGTGTTGCCTTAGATGTTGAGGGAAAGGAAAGACGCTTTCACAGAATGAAGCTTGAATGGGGCTTTGATCAATTCATCTCTCTTAAAGTTCTGAATGACTCTGCTAATGGGTTTCTTGTGGATGACACTTGTGTTCTTGGAGCAGAAGTGTTTGTTTGCAAAGAAAGAAGCACTGGTAAAGGAGAATGTCTACAGATGATAAAGGATCCCATCACATACAAGCACACTTTTAGGGTGGACAACTATTCCAAGTTAGGCGTAGTATGCAGCGAATCGGAAGAATTCAACGCAGCAGATCTGAAATGGTATCCCCATTATATCGTCTTTTTTTTTTTTTTCCCCTAAAATTCCATGATGATAAAGAAGGCAAAGAAGCATTTTTCATGTACTGGTTTCGTATTTTGTCTCTACAGGAAGATAAGGCTGTATCCTAAGGGAAAAGGAGATGGATTGGGTACTCATCTATCACTCTATTTGGCTTTGGTTGATTCAACCACCCTTCCTCCAGGCAGCAAAATATACGCCGAATTCACATTGCGCATTCTAAATCAAATCAATACCAACAATTATTATGGTAAAGCCAGTCACTGGTTCAGTACCCGAAATGAGGAATATGGCTGGTCAAGACATATCACATCTGCCTACTTCAGGACCACCTCGGGTTACCTGGTTAAGGACACTTCCATTTTCGAGGCTGATGTCACTGTCCATGGAGTTGTCAAACCGCTGTAACGAAGCAACGTATGCATTACAATGTCATAAAAAGGGGTATTTCTCAGTATCAACAGTTCGGTTGTTTGATGTAATCAGTTTTTTCTGTTAAACAAACTTAGCAGTGTCAGGACGACGTCCATGAATTTATTTATGCACAAGAATAAAACCTCAAGGGCTCGTAATTTCCACTATTGATGTTGCTTCCTATCCCATACTTTGTACTTTCAAACAATTTCAAAACAAAAAGGTAACGTTTGATTCATGGATTCAGAATCATGATTCATAATTCTGATTTTTGAAATTTAAAATTTTTTGTGAGAAAAAAACACTATAGAGAATCATGAATCATGATTCAGTGCTAGAGACTGATACATGAAACAAACATCGCTAAAGAATAACTTGATTTTCACAAGGTAAATTATCTACTAAAGCACGAAACATACGCTTGGAAGTGAAATTTTATTCATTCTTCTGAGGTGAACCTTCAACAATAATGCTCGTATGTTCCAATCGTTAATACTTGACACAGGAAACATACGAGGCCTGTAAACGGATGAACTTTACAGAAAGCAAATGAAATTGATATCCTTTGAAAATGAGAGTGCCGAGCTTTCTAGATGCAGGCACGTTTATGAGCAATGCAGTTAAAAGTTTAATTACAATGTACAAGTACTTACAAAGAAAAAAAAAAAAGTACTAGCCAAAGGTTTTCTCACTGCTGTAACACATGTAAAGAAATCCATCTTCATCCTTGTAAGTTTCATAGACGAAATCCATACAGCTGGCTGTAAGCGAAGGTAATATAAAATGAAACACTTTATAGCATGTTCCTTAAAAATATAATCCTAGTATTCTAGACATTATTAGTGAAACATTGCTATGAACTTCACCTGTTTGGGGCAATGTGTTCTTCACAAACACAAAGAGAGCCTTTCCGGGACTCAAATGCAACCTGCTGCTTAAGATGTGGATGAATTGTCCAACAGACATGTCTCTTGGAACAAGGTATCTTCGAGAAGAAAACGAAAAACACAGATTAGCAACTTTATCAGCAGTTAAGTTGTAAAATTGTAAGCATTTGAATCTGATGCATCTAAGAGGCTGTTATGGTTTTGGCAAAAGAAAATTTTTTTCTCTGTTTAGTTAAAAAGAAAGAAAAAAGGTGATACAAAATATTGAATGAAAAAAAGAAAGTTGTATTTCCTCTACATTATTTGGCACCATAGGAAGGAAAGGAAATGAATACTTATAAGTGAATGGCTGTTTTAAACACGTCGTAACGAGTTTTCTCTCCAAAAATCTCTCCGCTTTCAAACGGATAGAAAAGAGCGCGCCCTACATATCCTTTTATCCTTTCACTCATTTTCTCCTACCAAACAGCCTACTATTCCGTTTTTTACAAGCAAAAAAAATAAAAAAATTTCTACTATTCTGTGTTCTGTTAAAAAATCCCTCTACTACTGTCTTACTTTCCACGTTTCATCCCGACCAAACATAATGTAAAGCAAGAATGGAGGCAAATTGTGAAATGAAAAGAAGACCTACTTCTTCTTGTCCATTTCAGGAAGGTCTGTCCTTGAGTATCTCTCAATGATCACCTGCAAATTAAGGGATATCCAATTATCCATATGATGTAAATCCCTATGAATACTCCCTATGAATCCCCATGTAAATCCCAATTATCCAACTAGTCTGAATCAAGATCCTATGAATGTAGATTAGTCCTGCACACTTAAATTGTAAAGCTTTGGCCTAGACAGCTTTGTTTTTTTTTTTTTTTTTTTTTTTTTTTTTTTTTTTTTTTTTTTGACTCTCTCTTTCTTTATTAACTCTACATTTTTGTCATGTTCTGTTACGTACATGTCTCTCTTTCCTGCACATTTAAATTACGGACCCGTTTATTTTACTGATTCAAGTTTTTAATTCGAATTGAGATGTGATTTTTTATGAAAGTTTTTATCGTAATAAAAAAATTAAATATGATTGTTTTTAAAAACTTTTTATTATAATAAAACTTAAATTCTAAACTTGAATTAGTGAAATGAATAGGGCTTATCGTTTTTCCCTCACCAATCTCCACAAAACAAAATTGAAACTTTCAAGGAAAAAAAGAAATAACTTCGTTATCAATTTTCCGGCAAAAAAATAAATATTCATTTTCTTTTTTCCGATAGAAAAAAGAAGAAATGCAAAAGAAGAAACTCCTTTTGCATGTCTGACAGTAATGTAAGCAAAAATAATCAATGATCTTCATAGACAATTTTATTGTTTCTTCCCATGTTAAAGAAAAAGCAAACAAAAAAAAAATCAACGATTTTGTAAATAAAGAACAAGGAAAATGTGAAGAGATTGAATAAAATTCCGAGACTGAAATAAATTGGGAAACGTGCAGGAATTCTATCTGGGTATTTCGCAATAATGTTCTTTGATTCCGCAAGTCGATCATCTGCGCTCATAATCCAACGATAAATTTCAAATCAGAAAAAAAAGTACAAGAACCTGAAAGAAGAAGAAGAAAAACAAAAGAGATGAGATGAAACAAATTACCGAAAGAATAATCTTGTTTGAAGGAAGTGATCTTGCCCATTATTGTGAAAGTCTTAAGAGAGAGAGAGAAGGGTAGAATGAGAGAGATGTTCGAATTTGTGTTGTGTGAGAAAGAAGATTTGTTGTTAGTTTTGGTTTTAATTTAAAAGTTTCAGTTTATGTTGGAGAGAAAAGAGAGGAGAAGATGACAGGTAAGATAGGAGTAACGTGGACGCAGTTAAAAGAGACACCAAAATCAAAGTCAGTAGTCGTTTTCTGTTTTCTGTTTTTCCTTTTTCCTTTTTGAGTTTTGAGTTTTGACGTTATACGCTACCATCCACCGACAATTCTCTTGATGCTCTATCATCATCTTTCTTTTTGACTTTACTTTTTTTATTTTTTTATTTATTTAAGCTTTCAACTTAAAGAGGTGAATCGTGATGTGCCGGTCCGACCCGTAATCAACTAAGCCCGTACGTATTTTGTGTCATGTTTAATTTGATCCATTAAAATTTTGTATTTTATTTGTGTCAGCTCAAAATTTAAAATTACAAATATTACGGTCTGACCATAAGCCCAGGTCTATTCATGCTCGTACTATATTTGTATTGTATTGTATTTATATTTTAGGCCTCATTCACTTTACCGATTTGAATTTAAAATTTGAGTTTTACTATAGTAAAAAATTTTCAGAAACAGTCACATCTAACTTTTTTACTACAGTAAAAAATTTTCACATAAAATCACATCTCAACTCTAATTACAAACTCAAATAAGCAAAATGAACGGGCCCATTGTGCTTGACATACTTATTAAACTATTGAGTCATTTTAAAATTATTTTTTAAGCATTTTTAAATATATAATTTCATATGCTATAACTAAGTAACAAATAAAAAAAATAAAAAACTCGATGCCATCATTATCATAAATAATAATTTATAAATATAATTTTTTATTTTATTTAAATTAATACTGAGAATAAGAGACAACTAACATAAAAAGATAACAAATCAATATTGTATGTCAAGCCCCTCGCTCAAAATTTTATTAAAATGAAAATCACATATTTCAACTAATTTAGCTAAAACACAGAGTTATCATCCGAGTTTGTAAAATTTTCAATCATTTAAACTTGGAGTTGTTTTTTTTCTGCATCCTTTCAATCTTTCACACACATTAAAGCCTCTAAAATATCTGGTAGTAGTCATGCCCTTCGTTCATCAAATACTTGATAATAATTTCTGAACATATTCATTGATTTTAAGGTCAAATGAATTAATTTTGTTTATGCAAATCTACAATTTTTTTTAATTATTTAGAGATATGTAATAGTAATGAAAAATTATTAATCAAAAAAATTATATTTGTCGTGTTGTGCTCGTATCAGGTCCACGTACTAAAAATTTATGAGCCTAACACGGCTAACTACCACGTGTCTTGTTTAGCCTAGCACGTTATAATCTCGTCTCGTATCGGACTAAAAAGTCTCGTGCTGTGCTATCGTGCTTGATGAGCGGCTCGACCCAATTGACTTTTCTATTTTAACTTTAGAGAAGGCCATTTTTGAAGGGGAGAAAAAAAAAACTTTTGATGTGGGGTCAAAAGTCGTAAAATTGACAAACAGGTGAAATTGACGGTATTTGACATATATAGATGTTGCGGTTCAAAACAGAGTTTTTCTCATTTTTGAACTTTTTGATTGGTTTCTATTCAATTTTAGGGCGTTTTTACATCCACTCTCAAATGGAAAGAAAATGTGAGAAGTAATTCCCTTTTGTTTATTTATAAAAGTAGTCATGAAAATTTAGTGGGGAATGGGGATACACATAATATAAGATATGGATAAAGGGTATGTTAGTCTTTTCATCTCCTTTGGTATTGATTTCCTCTTAAAGGGGATAAATATGGAATTTGCTTATCTATCTTGAATATTGATTTCACTCTTTGGTAATCTTTGTATTCTAAGAAACTAGCTGTACCAGAATTTTTCCTTCTTTGTACCAATCACTTAAGTGTATATATTGCAATCTCATTACTTAATGAAAAACCAGCAAAGGCCAATTTATTCTTAATTTCCATTATTTGCTAAAACTCTATTTATTCTTAGAGCCATTCTGGTTTCCCACAAGCACACCCCCTTCTACCATGGCTGACGCCTCAAAAACACTAGAAACTACTCAACTCTGCTGCCACTGTGTCCTCGTCTCAGTCACGCCTAAACTATTGGAAAAATGACAACGAGTTGCATAAATTTTTATTGATTACTGATGAGCGCATGAAAATGCATTTAATTTGTTCATAATTGTTAAATAAATTATGTTTTAATTAAATATTTTCATGAAATTAATTTTATGTGAAAGTATTTAATTTAATTTAATTTTATTTTATTTTGTAAGAAAATAAGATATTTAGGCCACAATACCAAGTAAAGAAAGCAACTCAAACTCAAGGAGTGCTAAGTTAATGGGAAATAGTATAAAATAGGCCAATATGAAAAGCTTAAGAAAATATATAGGTCAATTTTTAGTTATAAAAATTAATAGGCCATAACTTGTTAAGTTATAGTTCATAACCAGATACGTTATGAACAAACTTGTCAAGTTATGGTTCATAACTAAATAAGTTATGGACAATTATGGATAATAACTTGTCAAGTTATGGTTTATAACTAAACAAGTTATGGACGAAAATAATAATTTAACCTATTTATTAATTTATGTAAACTATTAACCTATTAATTTTAATTCATCTCAAGTATTGACCTATTTTCCTCTTTCTCCCTGAGTTAATCTCCATTTTCTTTGACAAATCCACACATGCACCTGGGTTCTTGGACCAATATGGCCATCGCACATCCACATGTTTGCAGGTGCAAAAGTCAGCCTCAAACACAACTGGGTCACAAAGCTAGCAAAGCCCAACTTTTAAAAAAAGCCCAGAAAGGAAAAGAGTTCAATTTGGCCCAAGAAACTAGTAGCCCAAGTCAAGCCACAATTTGCTTTCCTCGTGTGAAAGTTCTCCTTGCCGAGTCCAGATCATGTGCGCAAGACAACCCCAAGAAACCCAAGGTCCCACCGCGCACAGCTTTTCATCTGCTCTCCTTCCGGTCAGCAACACATGTCCATGCACTTAGGATTTTTCTTCCGTTCCAAACCCTTTTTGCTGGTGTTCTTCCTCCATTTTATCAGCTTTTACTCATCAAATAAAGCCTTATAAATTTCAATTAAATAAGAAAACATTTTTAATTTTCTTTTCTTTTTTAAAAGATAAAGTTAATTTATTCTCGTTAAATAAGGTCATCAAGTTAATTTTACACGACAGTAACAAAGTTAAAGACGAAATCTTTATTTGTATATATAATTCTGATTAGTGTTTGTAATCTTTGAGACTTATAGATTGTTCACTACTGTCTAGATATGACTTTATGGATTAGATGGTTACCGAACCGCGATATTAAACTCTTGTGTTATTTTACTTGTTCATGTTTGTCCTTTATTTGTTGCAACATATTGAACAACAAACTTGATAAAAAGAGCAAATCAGTACCTAACACTCATCTTATATATATGCATTAAATTAATGTATTTATAGAGGCTTGTTCAAAATATTTTATGAAAGATTTTTAAAATATACGATTCGATCGTTATCCGTACAATTGGTTGTCAAAACCAGCATACTTGAGCTCATTATGATTTTTCTTTTTTCCTTTAGGTATAGTAAGTAGCTAAAGTTTTTGCCTCTAGTGTCATGCACGACTCCTATTGCATCATTAGCTTTAGTTTCATGAATAACTTGTCAACAAATCATCCAGAATATTTACTCTCATAATATCTCTCTGTTGCTCTTTATATATATCTTTTTCATATAATTTTGATGATATCGATAGAGGGTGTTTTGGTCTTCTTTCTTTCTTTCTTTCTTTTTTATTTATTTTATTTATTTTTTTATTTTTACTTTGAGGTAGAGTGGATTTAAATTCATCATCTTATGATAGAGTTCTTTTTAAAATTGCCGATAGCCTATTACATGACATCACTTTTTTCATATAATTCTTAAGGCTCAAGGTTTTTTTTTTTTTTTTTCATTTTTTATTATTTTTTAACCTCCTCTTACTAAATACCGAATCATATTAAATTATGACGACGTGCAGTAGACTCATATGCGTAAAATGATAGGTAAACCTTATCAAAATTTGGAAACGATGAAATGTCACATTAGGTTTGAACCCAACCCACCCCCATGGAATCACCTGACTTTTCATCATACTATTCTCTACGTCAGGGAAAGGAAAGGGAAAGGAAAAAGAAAAAGATAATAACAACAAGAATAATAGTAAACTATTGGAAAAATGACAACGAGTTGCATAAATTTTTATTGATTATTGATAAGCGCATGAAAATGCACTTAATTTTTTCATAATTGTTAAATAAATTATGTTTTAATTAAATATTTTCATGAAATTAATTTTATGTGAAAGTATTTAATTTTAATTTATTTTATTTTATTTTGTACGAAATATTTATGCCACAATACCAAGCAAAGAAAACAACTCAAGCTCAAGGAGTGCTAAGCTAATCTCCATTTTCTTTGACAAATCCACACATGCACGTCGGTTCTTGGACCAATATGGCCATCGCACATCCACATGTTTGTAGGTGCAAAAGTCAGCCTCAAACACAACTGGGCCACAAAGCTAGCAAAGCCCAACTTTTAAAAAAAGCCCAGAAAGAAAAAGAGTTCAATTTGGCCCAAGAAGCTAGTAGCCCAAGTCAAGCCATAATTTGCTTTCCTCGTGTGAAAGTTCCCCTTGCCGAGTCCAGATCATCTGCGCAAGACAACCCCAAGAAACCCAAGGGTCCCGCCGCGCACAGCTTTTCATCTGCTCCACTTCCGTTCAGCGACACGTGTCCATGCACTTGGGATTTTTCTTCCGTTCCAAACCCTTTTTGCTGGTTTTCTTCCTCTATTTTATCAGCTTTTACTCACCAAATAAAGCCTTATAAATTTCAATTAAATAAGAAAACGTTTTTAATTTTATTTTCTTTATTATTTTTGTTGCTGATTGTAACTTTTGACATGACCTAATAACTCTATAAATAGGGTATTTATCAAGGTTATTAATTGTTGAATTTTAACTTAAGTTTAGATACTCATTTTGTCTTATTTTTATTCTCATATTTTCTCTTTAAAAATTTGTGAGAATTATGTGCAAGCTTGGCTAGAGATATTGAGTGAGGCTAGAGACGATCCTATATGTGTAGTGAGTTTATTTGAGTTTTGATTCTCTAATGGTTTGTAAGTTTTATACATTTGAGTAAATAATTTTTTTTTATCATATTTCTTCCTCATATCAATATATTTTATTGTCAACTTTTATATAAATCTGGTCAAGCTCTTTTTATGTGATTGTTGCATGATACTATATAGATATTAGAGTCCCACAAGAGTCTCATCAGGTTTTTGGAGCTTTGGTTTTACTAAGAATATTCTCAGAAAAAGTCTGTGAGCCTTGAGAGTTTATTGAAGATCGTTCTTCGGTATAAGAATTAAAAGTTTTTAAGAGAGGGCACACTGCTAGTAGAAGAGATTTCGCTGTGCAGTTTTTAAAGACGAGTGGTGCTTGTTGAACAAGATTATCAAGTTGATTCTACACGGCAGTGACAAAGTTAAAGATTTGTATATATAATTCTGATTGGTATTTATAATCTTTGAGACTTGTAGATTGTTCATTATCTATGTATGGCCCTATGAATTAGATAGTTACCGAATCACGATACTAATCTCTTGTGTCTTTTTACTTGTTCATATTTGTCCTTTATTTGTTGCAACAAATTGAACAACGAACTTGATAAAAAGAGCAAATCAGCACCTAACACGCATCTTATACATATATGCATTAAATTAATGTATTTATAAAGGCTTGTTCAAAAAAATTATGAACGATTTTTAAAATATACGATTCGATCCTATACCATGCTCTTTCCCAATTTTTCCGTACAATTGGTTTCCGAAACTAGCATACTTGAGCTCATTAATGATTTTTCTTTTTTCCTAAAGGTATAGTAATGCATCATTAGCTTTAGTTTCATGAATAACTTGTCAAATAATCATCCAGAATATTTAGGTGGCGTTTGGTTCATGTATTCAAACTATGTGATTAGAATTATTTTTGATTTACGTGTATTTTTTGTAAGAGAAAATACTGTAACGAACCACGAACCATGATTCGAATCAGGGAACGAATCTATGTGCCAAACGGACTCCTCATAATATCTCTCTGTTGCATTTGCTACTCAAACTCTTTATAAACAAGCTACTCGACACCATTGCACTTTTGGCACTTCCCAGTCTATGTTCTTTCGACAAGATAATATATGTGGTTTGTTTAATTCGCTGATTTGAATTTTTAATTTGAGTTGAGATGTAACTTTATGTGAGAGTTTTTTACTATAGTAAAAAAGTTAGATATGACTATTTTTTAGAGCTTGTTACTGTAGCAAAACTCAAATTTTAAACTCGAATCGGTAAAATGAACGTGACCATGTTTTCCCCCCTTAAATATGTATTTTTTTTCATATAATTTTGATGATGTCGATAGAGGGTGTTTTGGTTTTCTTTCATTCTTTCTATTTTATTTTATTTTATTTTATTTTTTACTTAGAGGTAGAGTAGATTTAAATTCATCATCTCATGATGGAGTTCTTTTTAAAATTACTGATAGCTTATTACATGACATCACTTTTTTCATATAATTCTTAAGGCTCAATGTTTTTTTTTTTCATTTTTTATTATTTTTTAACCTCTTCTTACTAAATACCGAATCATATTAATGTTTAGTTCATGGATTTCAAATCATGATTCAGGACCATTCTCAATTTACGTGTGTTTTTTGTGAGATAAAATATCGTAGCGAGCTACGAACTATAATTTGAATCATAACAAGAATTTTCATACCAAACACCAATTATGACGACTTGCAGTAGACTCATATGCGTAAAATGGTAGGTAAACCTAATCAAAATTTGGAAACGATGTAATGTCACATTAGGTTTGAACTTTGAACCCAACCCACCCATGGAATCACCTGACTTTTCATCATATTATTCTCTACGAATAGATAAACAGGAAAAGGAAAGGGAGAAGAAAAAGATAATAACAACAAGAATAATTTTCTAAAGGTGTTAATTGTCACGTGATCTCATAGCGCATTTCTTTATAAAAACGTGTTATTTTTTGTCGTAAGTATAACAACGTGTTATTTGCTAAATCAAACATCTCGACACGTGATGTCTTTAGAACTAACTCCATCAATTGGAGTAAGAGGAAAAAAATTAAAAAAAATAACATCGAAAAATAAATAAAGTTATATGGGAGTTTTTGACAAAAAGAAACTTAAGTAGTAGGGGAGAATTTTGAAAAGAATTATTTTAATTAAAAAAGGTGAGAAAGGGAAGTATTCTAAAAAAAGATATTGTAAAAAAATAAATTGTTAAAGAATATTACGGAAAAATAAAAAAAAAAACAATAGAAAAGAAAAAGAAGAATTTTTTTTTGTTTTTAAAAAATTTTAAAATAGAAAAATAGGAAAAATTAAAAATAAACTATAAAGAAGTTTTAGGCAAAAGAAAAAAAAAAAGGCAACAAACCAAAAGTGAAAAGAATTAGAAAAAATAAAAAACAAAAACAAAACACGAAAGAAAAAGAGGAGAAGTTGACACATGATTAAAGGATAAACTCCTTCTTTGGCTTTATTATATGTTTAGATTAACAAATTGCTCACAACTTTAGTTATCAGATTTTATGAGAAAAGTTGCTTGCTTAGCGTTCTTTTATTTTTTTTCATTGTAGAATATCTTATGTACTACGTGTTTTCAAGCCTAAAATCTATCTGAATTGAAAAGTATCCGTATTTATGATTTAGTGAAGATTCAACACACCAAAAAGCAATTCCCTAAAAAAAAAAAAAAAGCAATATAACACCAGTAGGGCACTAATAGGGCGTGTCAATTCATATCAAAATTATGAGTGCTGCCTGTCCATTTGATATAATTTAAAATCAAATAAAACTTAAAAAATTTACATAATATATAGTTTTTATGCAGATATAATGTTTAAAAAATAAAAACTTACCGGTATTTTTTTTAAGACTTTTTCTGGTGGGGTCTCTCTATCAGTAGACTTGTTTATGACTGTTAAATTCAACGGTTAAAAACTGGCCTACTAATAAGCCGACTATAAAAGAGAATCTTAAAATAAATTGGTATGACAATTAGGGTGAAAAAAACGCATAAACACACTAATATTAACAATGTATCTCTTTTTTTTTTTATGAGATAGTGCAAAACTTTATAATCATATGAAAATTACATCTAAACTAAAAATAAATATACAAATTAAATGAAACTTGGTGATAAACCGACGGTCTAAAATTCCATTACTACTAAGACTATCTTTAATGTAAATGTCAATATCAATTGTATATTTAACATCAAACAGTATGATATGGTATGTTACTTTCATTTTTACAAATGTTAAATTTATTTTTTTCTATAATTATTAAGCTTTAAAAGTTGTAAAAGTAAACTTTTTATTTTTAAAATGATTAGAAAATGTAGAAGTTGCATTAATTATATGGAAGAAGTAAACATTTTAGTCAATAGTAATAAAATGCCAAATTTTTTATTTGCTATACTTAGTGAGAAATTTGCCACAAACTATAGCACACGTAAAATTTGACATAACAAATAATACTGCATTAGAGAGTGTTTTTTATACTCAAATGTTAAATTTGTAATTGACAAATTAATTATATTATGGCATTAGAGATGTCTTAATGGGATACTTTTAGAATCACTATTTAAAAACACTCAACTAATAGTGCGTCACTTTAGAATGCTACTAGGGAGATAAAATTTAGAATCACATAGTATAAATACACTTAATTGTTAGTGCATAACTTTAAAAGGAGTTTGTGCAGTAGTTCGTCTGATTAGTAGTCTCAGTTTTTAATTGTTAGATCTGATCAAAATCATATTAAATTAAAAAGTATATAGAACAGATAAATTCTCATACAGATCTAACAGCTGATATAAAGAACTACCAGTATTTTATTTTTACAAAGGCATAATATGTTGATAGAATATTATCTATTCATAATAGAAGTAGAATTACTTAATCAATATAGCATGGAATTATGTTATCAAATAGGACAAACTTTAAAATCATATTAGAATTACATTGATTAAACAAAACAATCTTTTTTGGGATATTCTTCTATAGCTGACTTACCGGTATTTTTTTTTAACTATTAAATCATGTTAAAATTATATTAGATTAAAAAAATATAAAAAATAAATAAATTTTAATATAGATTTGACTACTAAAATATAAAATTATTAATAATTTATTTTTTCAGAAACTACAAGAAAAACTCCCATCATTTTATATAATTCTTCAAAAAAAATAAAAAATATGGAGACATAAGTCACATAATTGAAACATCAAAGAAGAATCCTTCGAGCAAAATTTACATAAAGAAACAAAAAAAAAAAGGGGTGGATTAGAGGAAAAGAATGGTGCGGCTTTGAATAATAATAATGAGATTTACAGTCCAAACTCTCAAGCATATAAAAGTCAGTCGACATTGACACTTACCAATTTTTCACCAAACGCGTGAAGCTGAAAAATCAAAATAATTAAAAAAAAAAATCATTTGATTGACATCTAATAAATCAAGTCTGACCTACCGACGGAATGGACGGCTGAGATTAAGGCAATGCCATCCTGAACCGATCTGGATCCCACGTAAATGGCCGTTTTGAATCTGACCCAATTTCCGGTGCTTGGGGGGTCTCTCTGTATATATACCATCTCCATTTCCCCTTCTACTTCACCAACCCAAAATCACCATTCTTCTTCTTCTTCGTCTTCGTCTCCTCTGATTCAGGTGATCTCTCTCTCCATCTTTCTCTCAGATCTTGCTCTATTTCTTTCTCTCTCTTCGTTTTTCATTTGTGTCAGTCAGATCTTAGATTTCCGAATGTTAGTGTAACAGATCGATCTTGAAATCGGTTTAGATTGGGTTTCTGATTTGTGAATTTCCTTTTGTTTTCGTTCTTGACTTGATTCGTAGGTCTTGAATTTGATTGAAATCGTTCCGTAATTTGTATCTTAAATTTCGTCGTACCGTGGATCTTGAAATCGTTGTATCCATGGATTATGCATTACTAGCATTGCCAGATCTGATGAAATTTCACTCTTCATACTTTTCTATTCCAATCTTGTGGTGTCGTAGATCTTGCATTTTCATACTAATTTTTTTATTACTTTTGGCTGTTCTTGAGCAAATGAGATTGTAATTGCCTTTTCCTTCTTGATTTTGTTCCTGCTTAGATTTGTTTCATGTGTAATTGACGACATTATTTGGTTGAAATTCTCCAGATTTTAGTTCTTTGTACTCGTATATATTGATAAAGATCAGATCTCAAATGCATTTCGTCGTTAATTAGAAATGGAGACAATGTTTAAATTTTGCAAAAAATCTTTGTTCTCTTTTCTTCTTTTTCTTTTTTCTCTGTTAGACTTTAATGTTACTACCAGATCTTATTAGCGTTTTATCAGTAACTTCCTAGGTAGATAATTGGAAGGGAAAATAATGAAGACCCGCTTGTTTAAGTTTCCAATAAAGCTTTGTTCATTTTCTCTGCTACCGAACTTAATTTTGCAATCACATCTCATTACCTTTAGTTACTAATTGTGTGCAGCTTGTAACCGTAAGAAAAGAAAAATGGAGACCTTCTTGTTTACCTCCGAATCTGTGAACGAGGGTCACCCCGACAAGCTCTGCGACCAGATCTCAGACGCCGTCCTCGACGCCTGCCTTGCTCAGGACGCCGACAGCAAGGTCGCCTGTGAGACCTGCACCAAGACCAACATGGTCATGGTATTTGGCGAGATTACCACCAAGGCCAATGTTGACTACGAGAAGATTGTCCGTGACACTTGCCGCAGCATTGGCTTTGTCTCTGACAATGTTGGACTCGACGCTGACCACTGCAAGGTCCTTGTCAACATCGAGCAGCAGAGCCCTGACATTGCGCAGGGTGTCCACGGCCACCTCACGAAGCGCCCCGAGGAGATTGGTGCCGGTGACCAGGGCCACATGTTTGGCTATGCCACTGACGAGACCCCTGAGCTCATGCCCCTCAGCCATGTCCTCGCCACCAAGCTTGGTGCCCGCCTCACTGAGGTCCGCAAGAATGGGACTTGCCCTTGGCTCAGGCCCGATGGGAAAACCCAAGTCACTGTCGAGTACTACAACGACAATGGTGCCATGGTCCCTGTTCGCGTCCACACCGTTCTCATTTCAACTCAGCATGATGAGACCGTGACCAATGATGAGATTGCCGCAGACCTCAAAGAGCATGTGATCAAGCCAGTGATCCCTGAGAAGTATCTGGATGAGAAAACCATCTTCCACCTCAACCCATCTGGTCGCTTTGTCATCGGAGGTCCACATGGTGATGCTGGTTTAACAGGGAGGAAGATCATCATCGACACCTATGGCGGATGGGGTGCTCACGGAGGTGGTGCCTTCTCAGGGAAGGACCCAACTAAGGTAGACAGGAGTGGTGCTTACATTGTCAGGCAGGCTGCAAAGAGCATTGTGGCAAGTGGGCTTGCCAGGAGGTGCATTGTCCAGGTCTCCTATGCTATCGGTGTCCCCGAGCCGTTGTCGGTGTTCGTTGAAACCTACAAGACTGGGAAGATTCCGGACAAGGAGATACTGAAGATTGTGAAGGAGAATTTTGATTTCAGGCCCGGAATGATCGCCATCAACCTGGACCTTAAGAGGGGTGGCAATGGCAGGTTCTTGAAGACTGCTGCCTATGGACATTTCGGAAGGGATGATGCTGATTTCACATGGGAGGTTGTCAAGCCACTTAAGTGGGAAAAGCCTCAAGCGTAAATCTGGGAATTACATCTGATATGTGTCTGATGTTGTGGCACTCTCCATTCACAATTTTTTGCCAAGGCTCTTACTATTTGCCTTCTTTTTTTTTTTTTTCTTTTGGGTTTTCTTTCTTCTATTTTTTTTACTCCACTTATTTGTTCTTTGAGAATGCATTATTACTTGTTATGATGAGTCAAAGTGGAGGTGAAAATGCTATGAAATGATGTACTCTTAATATCATATGTTGTATGCTATTATTGCTGGCACGAGAAACAATAAAAATTTGAGACGAGTAGTGCCCCGACAACATTATACACGTCTTTTTTTCTTTGTACTTTTTTCTGGTTGATTATTTTCCTTAGGAGTAGTGATTTCTTTTTTTTTTTTTTGAACATTCCACGACACTCCGGCATGGACACGATTGTCCCCTTACCGTTCCCCACTAATATTTTAACACATCATCAAAATTGTAAATATCATATTAAAAATTAATATTAATCACTATAATATAAAAGACTAGTCTTCCTTCATTAACGCTCCGTTTCGGTGCTTTTTTTTTTTTATCTTTACTTTTCATTTTTTAGTTACGATAATTTTCAAACTTGATTTGGTGTTGTTTACATCAAGTTATGCTAGGTTTCGGTTTAACCATAACTAATACATTTACTGTGACCAGTAAAAAATGCGTCCATGTTTGGTTATGCTAAACTTTTAATATGAATCTACTACACTTTTGAGGATAGAAACTAGACATCAGAGCTTTTTAATAAGGTATCATGTGTTTCAAAATGATTTTTGTACAATTAATTATGAATTTTTGAAATTAGAGTTTTAAATCAGTGGGTGAACAGTGTGACTTAAGAATAAAGGCTCCAACTTTAGGAGATAGAAAACTTATTTTATAAAACTGGTTTAATGAGTAGTAATATGATATGTTAGGAGCATTATATCAAAATTTAAGACCATTTGGACTTGGCATAAATCTGGAACACTAGTTTTAAGTTTAGCAGTCCAATTGGTTAGTAAAGTGAAGAAATGTGAACTTAGGAGAAATAAAATGATGACCAGCCATTATTTTGACTTCATAAAAACATTAGGCTCGGTAAAATTAGTTAGGTATTCTAGAAAATCATTCATGTAAGGAGGAACCTCGAAGAAAGACTTAAGGGTTGTTTGGTTGGGGGATTTGTACCCCGATTCGAATCATGGTTCATAGTTTGCTACAGTGTTTTCTCTCACAAAAAATACACGTAAATCAAAAATGATTTTAATCTCATGATTCTAATCCATGAACCAAACGTCTCCTTATAAATCAAGAAAAAGGGGTAGAATTGTCTTTTGGCATTAAGTAAGGGTTAAATAGTCATTTTGAGCTTAGGCTTGTATTTTTGGGTTTTGGACAAGAGAATAGACTAATATTAAGGTAAGGTTAAGAGTCCAAAAGTTCGGGTTAAATTGGGTGTGATTTGGGCCTAAGACGGGACCGATTACCCATGGTTACCGACTAGGTTACCAACCAAAAGCCAAATCCAATTTGAAATTTAGTAAACCGACATACCTTATGGGCCTCTCAAGCCCAAGAAGCATAGACCCTGACTTTTTTCATGAGCCACTAGAGTCAAAGGTCAACATCATTAGACCTCTAATTAAGAAGACTAATCCTTCATTAATCGACATTTAAGATAAACAATTAACCAGAGATTAATTTATATTAATCAGTTATTTAGTCTTAATCAAATCATTAATGAACTCCTAATCACCTTATTAGTTAATTCACTAATTGGTTAATTGATTAATTAATTAACTAAAAATCTCGTTATTACTTAAAGATTAATTAACAACCTAATTAATAATTAACAAACTAATTAACTAAAGATTAATTATTAACTAATAATGATTTATGTTATTTAAATAATCATAATTAATTATTAATTAATGAGGAGATGATGATTATTTAACAGTTAATTAATTATCAACTTAAATTAATTAAGCAATTAAAATTAATAATTTACTAGTGATTAATTAATTATTAATTAAAAATGAAAATAATTAAAGTAGCAGTTAATAATTATAACCGATTAATTAATTATTAACTAGTGATTAAATTTTCACAGTAAACCATTTAATCTAAGGAAGTTATCCAACAACGATAAATACCAATTAAGATTATTATATCAAAATTTAATTAGTGATTATTTTCAAAAGATGCAAATAAGACTAAGAGTTTTCATCAATAAGTTGACCAGGGGATCCCTTTAACTTAAAAGTGTTGTCATCAAGGTGTGTTCCAAAAACAAGAGAAGCAGGAATTGTTTTAAGTGTGATTACTTGATTAGGTGAGTACAAAGCTCACCTACAATATGAATGTATTTTTAAAAGATATGTTTGAAAAATTGCTTGTTTGTATTGTACAAATTCTCTATGGCATGAATGATGAATATGATGCAATGTATGTCCCTTTAAAGAATTTACAATGTTATACTTTTGTAACATGAATGATAAGTATAATATGATGTTTGCCTCTTTAAATTATTTGTAATGATATACTCTTGTGACATGATCATAATCGCATGTTCATGTAAATAAGAGACTAAGGTAATAAAGACAAGTTAAGTGTCGCACCGTCCTCTAGCCCATGAGGATGAGACATTTTCCCTTCGCTCATGGGGATGAGAAGTTTAATAAGGATAATTTATGACCTTGGGGGCGTAGTTGAACAAAATTTTTGGATCGCTCCCCCACTTCTCATTGTCCCACGAACAGAGTACGGACACAGAACCCGAAAGTAATAAAATACATTTTCATAATTGAGCATAAATGATCATGCATGTTTATATGAGTTATAATGTGCAAATGTTTTGTGAGGATATTTGTACTCACTGAGTTTTCGCTTACTAATGTGACGACCCAAGCTACGTGATCTTCACTGTAGTTGACTTAACATATACTTACTAAATTTATTGAAATTTACAGAACATTTCTTTTATAAACATTAAATTAAACTACTTTCTTTTGTTGCAACATAAGTTATAACTTATCATATTAACATATTTGTCTTTCCAAAACATAAATACATATTTCTTAAGACATAACATTTACATATATCCTCATAGTCATATTTAGGCAAACTATCTAACATATAGTTTAAAGATCATGATTCACAAAGACTAATGTAACTTCTAGTTTGGAGGTCATAAATAACAAAACTACTTGGAAAATTAAAATGCGAGCAGTATCTATTCCCATTCTCCACACTGATTATCCGTCGCTACACCACCGTCCATCAGACATTTTGTGTAAGTTGCTTACCTACGGTATAAACATACTTGGATGAGCTTTCGCCCAACAAGTAGGAACTATGTCACACAAAATAATTGAGAATACATGTAATAAAATATGCATGCATCTATTATGCTTGATTATGATTTTGTCTTACTAAATTGATGGGCGCGAGTGTTCGAACCGGTTGTGCGCAATCATCGGGAAGTTAGAGTTTTCAAGGTCTCTAACGACACCGTGATCTGATTTGTTATACTGAAACTGAATGCCTCCTTTGTGAAGGTCTTGAATCCTCCCTCTAGGTGAGAGGTTGGTACGAAACTCAAATTTTTATTTTGAAAAGTTTCACTGGAACTATTAGTGAGCATGCAATATGGCATGACATCTCATACAATAACATAAGGCATAAACATGCATTTATAACATGTATAATCATTTTAATTAAAAACTATTCATATTGTAGGGGAGATTCCTACTTACCTATTTTCTAGTAATTGGAATTCTGTATTCGTCTAGATCTACTATCCTCTACTGTTAAGTTTTGTAAAAGAACACTAACTTTTCGATGGTATTTGAATTTAGCATAGTCATAAAGAAATCTAATCTTCTTCTTAGAGCATATTCTGTAATACCCGAGAAATTCATAAGTGTAACCATGGAATTAATCAAGATTTACGCAATGAATTTCTTAACACATTTCAGTTTGATTAAATGATTACGGTTTGAATTAAATCAATCGTGCTACGCCTCTGATAAATTTTAGTTGAGATGAATCTTGAGAATTAGTCAAAATTTAAATGACGATTTCTTTATACACTGTCGAATTAGGTCAACATTATTTTATGATGAAAGTTAAGAAACTCTTTAGCTTTACAACTTCTGGAGTTGCAATATTCGATCAAAACATGACAGTCCAAATGGGCCTAAAAGCCCAAGTGGGAATTAGAGTAACCTTTAGTTTAAGACTTAAGCCCATCCATAGGAATACTTGAGGATAGGATCAGCCCAATAAAGTTGAAATGGAGTAACCTATAGGTGACCTTAGAGTATACCACTAGGAAATGAACTTAGTTAACTTCCTAAGCCGGTAGAAAATTAATGAAACTTAGCCGGATAATTAATAATTAATTAAACGAGTTAATTTAGAAATTTAATTAAGGTGAAAAATAAATATTTAATTAGCATAATTTATTTAGATAATTAATTAATTGATTACGCAAATTAAGTAATTAATTAAGGATAAATGATGGATGATTATTTGGCAAAGGGTATTTAATTAACGATAATTACTTAGATAATGAATTAAATTAATTTATTAAGGATAGAAATAGGGATATCTATCCAAGCAATTAATTAATTAGTCAAAGAGATTAATGAATAAATTGATGATAGGAAAATAGTTGTGTATAGAGTAAATGATGATTAGCCTAAATCGACTAATAAAAGTCTTACAAGAAATTAACTAAGTAATTTAAACTTACTAGTTAATCCAAAAACATAAGGATAGTACTACGGAAATGAGGATTAATGAAATTAAAACTAAAGAAGGATTAAGAGACCAAGTTTCCAATACCTAAACATAATAAATCATAAAACCTTGATGATAAACTGACAGTCAATTGTCAATACTAATTGATTACAGAATCATCATGTCACGAGAAAAGTTTCCCATGGATAATCACTAGTGCAGACGTCTAGGTGAGTACAAACCTTACCTCCAACCTGAATGGTTTTAAAATGTTACGTTTGAGAAATTGTTTGCTTGATTGCGTTGCATATATTCTCTGTGATATGATAGTTAAGTATGGAGCAATGTATGCCTCTTACAGTATTTTATAATAATATACTTTTGAGGCATAAATGATGATGAACGATGAAAATAATGTAATGTATGTCCTATCAGGTAATCTACAAATGATTATACCTTGTGACATATTTGAAATGTGCTTGCTCATGTGCACCAAATCTCTGTGAATGATGATGAATGAGGATATTTTTAATGTGTTGTGAACTCTAATATTATTATATTTACTGCATCTTAAGATTAAAGTTATAT